CCCACAAAACCTTATAGGAAGCTCACACCAGTGATTTCAGCTCTTGCTCTGTTTCCCACAACATCTTTATTCTCAGCTCCAGCACTGCTGCACAGCTGCCCTGTCTTCCTGCAGCAGCCCACCAAGTCCTTTCCCGCTGTGACTCCATCTCCACACAGTGTCCACAGGCACTGCACACCGCACGCGGCCCCCACCTAAATCGCCGCGGTGGGCAACAGCCAATCCGTTCATCACTTCGCCGACCCCCAGTCGCAGCTTCCCAGACAGGCTCACCGCACTCCGCTCTGCTCCCGGCTCCGTTCCCTGTTCTGCCGCCACCGCCGCCGCCGCCTTCTCACCTTCGCCGATACTCCCTCATGCTGCGGCACGCGGTCGTATTTCACACCTCCTGTTCCCGCCTCGCTGGCTCAGAGCCAATCACTGCCTAGATGGTTCCAGCGGGAACCAATCCCCGCCGCAGCCCAGTCAGGGCTTGGCCCGCCCCCCATTCCCGCCTTGCTCCGCTTCGCCCAATCCGACTCGTAGACACTCCCGCCCCGCCCAACCAATCCTCGCCCTGCTCCGCTTGACCCGCGCACTCGGCCAGCAATGGCTTCTGCAGAGTTCCCCGACGGATGTGATCGAGGCTGAGAGATGGCGTAGGACCCGACTTTCCAGTAGCAGCAGCGGAACGGCTGCGTTTGGTGCTCGGAAAACGACCTAGCCACTTAGTACGGAGGCTGCCAGAGCGCTGCCGGCCCCTATAGCAAGTTGGGCCGGGCAAAACGCGGAGAAGGGGCCGCTTTCTTCCTACTGGGCCAGGATTGGGCAGGGCGGCACTAAGTAGGCGTTTCCCGCCTGAGGAGAGCGAGGACGGGATTGGATAGGGCGGCGTTAGTTGGGCGGTTCCCGCGTGAGGGGAGTGGGCACGGGATTGGACAGTACTCCTGCTGGGCCCCAGAAGGGGGGGGGGGGGGGCGGCGGCAGTTTTGGCGCGCGGAACGAAGAGGGGCTCGGGTTGACAAAAGGCGGTCTTTAATTTTATAAACGTTCACCCAACTGATGCATCAAAACAGATGTTCAAAGAATTTTTTTTTTCTTTCAAAATCCAACCGTTTCCTATGAAAGCACAAAACCACTTCCACAGCTTTTTCTCCAAACAGTCATTAATTCCACATAAACAAAAAAGCAGGCTGGTTAATACAAATAACTATGAAATACAGATTAGGTACTGATCACAGAGTAGCGCTGAAATGATTACAATACAGTAAGGTTCCTCCTGCAGTCACAGTCCGTCAAGGCACTGAGCACACACAGCTGTTTGCAGTGACAGGGCCAGCAGTCACCGCCGCTGTGCCGGCTTTGGTTCACGTCTCAAAAACCTGCAGCAAAGCAGTGAGGGAATGTCTCTCGCAAGGCCTCTCCTTGTAACGCCTAACAACTAGAATAAGAGTCTAACCGCGGCATTAAAAAGATTACTTCCGTAATACATGCACTTTAAATAACTAATAATTCGCTTCTTAAAATCGGTTGGAATTTCGCTAATACCGTTGGTAACAGCAGCAGCTACACTTCCTATGCACGCTTCTGCCGTGATTAATTCCTTCCATCGGGGATGTGGATAACTCGAGGCACACAGATCATTACACCTCTCCTGCACAGCTCCTCGCCCTGCATTGAGGTGCACACAGGTCTCCGTGCCGGCAGGAGAAGCTTTTCACTGTTGGCTCTGTCAGTTTTCCCGTCAGGAAAGGAAAGAGTGTTTTGGCTCCCTTCACAGAGCAGTGCTTTCTGTGTCATTGTCAATATCTAGAGGGAGGTGGTTGTGCAGTTCTTTGCCCGCTGCCTCCGTAGGAAGCTCTGCAGAAGGGTTTTGAAGTGGTTCTGGAATACTGGAATTGGAGTCTGCACAAAAAACGGAAGAGCAAGTTTAGCAGTCAGGACAGAGACATCTCAGTAGTGCATTGCTGGTGCATTTCCTTAGGAAGAAAAGGGAAAGAAAGATCAATGAGGGCTTTTACCAACAAGGGTTTCTCAGACAGAGGGCTGGCACGCACGCTCACATGCGACAGAAACACTGGGCTAACCCAAACTAGAAATCTCATCCTGGGGTCATTTCTCCTACATGCCTTCTTTTAGCCATGTACATAAGTGTATTTGTTTGCTTTCCACCATTCGTAGGAAATACAACAATGTCACGGTCCTCAAGGCCCCCAGAAAGTAATGCTATACCTGGGCAGTCGCATCAGACCCGGATGGTCACTGAGCATCAATGGGCACCTCCACACCAGAGGGCACCACCCCGGGCTTTTAGAAGTGACAGCAGGAAGAAATTATCCAAGACAACATTCATCTCCTGTGTGCAACTAGATCCTGTTCTTTGCCCCCTACTGATGAAAGGAGAATTTTGTTCAAGCTAAGGTGTCCAAAGAAGGACAAAATGTTCCTGGTGACTGACTGTACTGGCAGGTAGAAAATTAAAAAAAATCCGGAACAGTTTAAAAGATGTGAATGAATATGTTGTCATTGTAAGTCAGCTTCGTAGAATAGTAAGCCATGGCACTACTTACTGCAACAATCCAAACAGAAAATTGTTTAGATCGATAAATCTAGCTAAGCACCTTGCTTTTAAAGTCAGGTGGCAAAGATAAGAATCTTTTGAAGACTTTGAATCCTATCATTAAGTCTTAAATTTAGCCCAGAAGTTACACTGCAAGCGTTCAAGTTAAAAACTTCTGAGCTAAACAGCATGGAAGAGGCCCAAGCAGATACAGAAGCGATGCCCAAGGCAGCGCCTCCTGCTCCTTTCCCAGGCCCACGGGCAGGCACTCTCACATGAAGAAGTTTTGTGGTGGCACTGCTAACACGACAGCTGCAACTCCATCACGTTGTTGCCTGACACCAACTGCCTGTAGTGCACAACATGACACTCTCCCCATTCTGAAAACCAGCACAAAGTTACTGTTCAGCAGACCTCAGAGAGCAATGAAGAAAATAATGTCTGTGCTACTTTCAAACCAAGCCCCTGTTCACTTTGTCTCACCATCCACGTGTTTAACATGAAAATTTAAGTACTTTTAGAATCAGTTGAGTTAAAATTAAAATTGTTTAAAGGTCAGATGTTTTAGGCATTTTACTACTGTCATCAGAAGCACCATTACATACAAAAAGTTGTAGCCGTGTCCCAAATTCCTACATATTCTCTTGCTCAATTCCCCACATGCTATGCCCAACCATGGAGAAGGTGGCACTGATCTCAAGCAGCAGAGACACTACATTCTCCCCAGTATCTGTCACTACTGCCAAGTTTTCATTCACAATATGATTCAAAAGATGCAATTCTGCTGCTACTGCATATCAAGGGACGAGATCTTCTCAAAAAAGAGGTAACAGTGTGAGATGACACAGGAAGGGAGTATTTGTGATTAACAACACAGCTAAGCTGGACACAAAATGAACCTCTGCATAAGATACACGGATTTCAAACTGATTTTCAGTAAGCTGAAGAAGTAAAATGTGAAACTGGCCAGTCAAAACAGGAATTTTACACATTCTAGTCTTCAATGCTTTTAGTATGTTAATGTAAAAGCAAGCATAAACAGCCATGCTTTTTGCATGCCACACTAGTGATAATGCAAGCAAGCAGTGTTATTTGTGACAGGTTAGTAGTGGGCATTAGCACACACATGATTACAAATTAGAGACATTTTTGGCCAATCATATGCCTTTTCCTTACCATTGAACTTTCCAATACAGTTCATACTGAAAGCAGGTCAAACATCTAGATTATTTAATAAAATTTTTGATTAGAATATTCTTTTCTAGGGCTCATAACTTTAATACTGCAAATAGAATTTGAGGCATTACTGTCCAGAATACGGACAAAGAAATTCAATATTATCCTGAAAACAATTCAGAATTCTCATGCTGATATTATAAAGTCTGCTGGCACCTAAATTTTCATTTCTATTATTCCTGGTTTCCCTTGCTCCATTATTTAAAGTTAAAATTGAAAGTAGTTATTTCACACTGTGAATCAGATAAGCTAGTTTATAGTACCAGCCAGTGCTTAAATATAACTACATGTGCGTGTGTAAATGTTAGAGCAGATACTCTTATGTAATACACAGTGGTGTTAATTCAGAACAAATATTCTCTAAAGCAAAATAAAAAGGACTGATCTGGAAAAGCTGGATGATCCTGCACTGAGAGCACTGCGTTAGACAAGCCCGGCTGTCACTTCAAGTGCTCCCACTTCTCGGTTTGTTTTCAAAACACACTAGGTTCTCTAGATTCCTTTACCAGCTCTGCTAAAGAATCCTTCATCATCAGCTTTCCTTGACAGACTTTTCTGTGTGGTAGCTTTCCTACTGTTGTTTACCATACACCATTTACCCAGCCGACCTGCTAAGGTTTGCACTTGGGAAGACCGATATCTATTAATTCTTTTCTAACATTTTCAGGTTGATAAACAGATCTTAGTGTTTTTTGGTTGGTAGTTTCTTCAATTGTATCCAAACAACAAGACAGCTGTGGTAATTCACACAACCACTATCGCATGGCAGATGCTCCGTGTAACTTAAACTCCCCCACTAATGAAGCAGCCCCCTGCATACCAGCTGGTTATTACTTAGAAGGCAAGCATTTCTCCAGTTACACTGAAGTAAAACAAATTCTGCTTAACTGCTTGCACTAAAGCAACTTCCCCAGAATCAGGAAAATTCTCTTTACTTGGAGTTTGACTCATCAGCATTGTTCCCATTCTCAACTTCTGTACAAGTGCTGTAAAGATGCAGAGCCTACAGACTTAAGGCCAAATTCAGTTTTGAAGTGAATTGCTTTTGTATTTTAAAGATGTTGATAAAAAGAGCAGGAGTACAATCAGGAGATATCTTATTTTAAAACACAAAGCTACCTTTTAGTTGCTTAGCTGCTCATTTATTGCTAGTTCCTTGTATACAAAACTATACTCCTGATCTTGAGATAATTCTGGAATGCAACCTCAACTTTTCCAGCCTGTCATGCAGTTGTTACCTTAGAAAGGTAGCATATTTCTGAGCTGCTATGTATCAAGTGAGATTATTAATGTGCTGTTTGGCAGCTGTGATTGAGCAGACTATTAGCAAGGCTGGGGCTGACAGAATGCAAATACGCCAGAATGCAGATGCTGCTGCACCTGCAAAGGAGTTTAGTCACACAACTGAGTATTTTGCCAAATAAGGTGCAAGTAAAAACAACTGAAAACCTAGAGTGAAAGCTACACTGAAGTGCAACCAGAAAAGACTGAACTGGAGGAAAAACTATAAGCTGCAACATTTGCCTGCATTGATGAGAAGAAATCTATTTTAAATGGGTCACTGCTTCACACCAGGTGACTGTGGGAAGTGCTATTCACTACAGTTATTTTTACCATTTGTACAGCACTATTGAAATTAAGCACAGGTCCTAATATGTCTTACAAACAGAATGACATGAGAACATACAGAGTTGACAGAGCACGTATTCCAAAGCGCATATACAAAATAAAGCTACAAATAAAATACTGCTGCGCGGGAGCATTTTAGCTTATATTGCATGTTTCTAGTAAGTACAAACCTTATTCGCAGTAACCATCCCCACCTGTGAAGGCACCATGGGGTAAAGCTGTTAGGCAACAGAATTTACACTTTGCATTCCAAAACATTAGTTTCATTGTTCAGAAGCTGCAGTGTCATTAGAAAGTTTTAACTATTATTGAACATGAGTAGGTTTAAAAGCATTAGTCTTACATTTGCTGTCTTTTCATTCAGAACTTCCTAAACCAAGCAAAGACTCACCAGCAGCACATTTCAAGATCTGCTAGCTTTTACTTTCTTCAGCAATTAACTTTTTTCCAACATTTAAATTAATATTATCTCTACCAAGCTAATAACTATGAGCTTCATTAAGTTCTTGTGAGAAGACAGAAAATTCATCTTTAATTCATCAATGTCTTAAAAGAGAAAAAGTCTGCACATAAAGAATGAAGATCAATCCACAATTTAGTTAAGTCTATTTGATTCTTCAGCTTCCAGACTTAAAACCCCATCAGAAAGCTTCATCTCACAAAGTAAAACATTCGGTGTTAGCATCTGTTCTACCAGAACACATCAGTGATCGCTTCATTGATTTGCTATCTCCTGTAAATCCCAAATATACTATTCCTGATGGCATCTTCTGCTTTCTCCAAATTATTTGCCTTTTCTGCACACAGAAGCATAAGCCTAGGAGATTGCCATGATGCTGAGGCTGGAGAAAGCCCTGTGGAGTTTGTTGCTACTCCAGTGTCTTGCATCCAGCACTTTAAAAAAAAAAAAGCAAGCTAATGCACACTTCCCCCCACATCATTCAGCCTGACGAAAGGAGACCTTCACTATGGAAGACCCCCAAGACCCCCAAGTGAAGAACAGTTGTGTGTGCATTCTAACTGTAAATAAGCAATTCAGTATTTTAACTGTTGCTTGTGCTTTCTTAAAAGATTACACATAGCTACAGACATTTTCTTCATTTCCACTCCCTAAGGAGGCACTGAATATGAAAGAATCCACTCACCTGTTACTATTTTGGAAGCTGTTTGCGTGGGATTTGCAATAATACCGTCTCCAGCCAGCTGAGAAGGAGGATGAGGAGGAGGGGGAACACTGGGTCTGTTTCTGGGCTTGGGCACAGGCCGCGGCCTTGGCAGCGTGCCACTGTGAGGTGGAGAGTGAGACTGTGAAGTGTCTTGAGCAGATGACTGCGGCTGTGACAGCGGGGAACTAGTACTGTGCTTGCCTAGGGGGGGTGTATCAGGTGGTGTTGGAGTCTGCGGAGGAGTGTAACAGGGCTGCTCTGGTCCATGTTCACTGCTGGGTGCAGCAGGAGATGCTTGATTGTTTGCTTTGGGCTGCAGTGGAGGAGTAGCCTGCGTTGGGGGCTGTGGTGGTGGGTGGCTGGGAGCTTGGATTGGGGACAGGCTGCTGGAGTATCGCCGAGGTGCAGAAACCTGGGAACTGGAGGTCAGGGCTGCTCCCTGGTTTGCATGTTGGGCAGGAGGAGAAGAGCTTCTGGCAAGTGGCTTTGGAGAGATTGAAGGTGGCTGAGCAGCTGGAGCAGAGCTTTGGCTTCCTGGCTGCCCTGGCGGGGGGTTAGCTGGCTTGGGAGGTGCTGGCGCAGGCTTTTTAACAGCTGTGAATGGAAGAGGGGAGATTTTATGGCAGTGTGTTGTGAAACCAAACTCCTAAAAGAAGGAATTCATAGCTCTATGAAATACTTAAGTATATTACTGAAATAAAATGGTGCATTACAAAATAAAAGTGGTATCAGTAGGAAACTACAGAAATGCAAATATTGGCTTACTAATCAGTAGTCAAGTGACTTCATTAAACAGTGTTGATAACATTACTAGCAGCACTCATGAAGGAATCCAAAGATATATACAGGTCCTAGTGAAAGGCAAAAGAACTGAAGTCTGGAGTAAAGGAAGACATGATGGTAAAGTAATTTTAGCAAGCATTTTTGTAGTGCTTAAAGAACAGTTGGAACTTAGTGCTTTAAAAGCCAAGCAAAAAAAAAAAATCATACCTCTTCTCACTGAATGGGGACTGGGACCTGCTGCATTCTGTGGCTGATTAACAGAAAGCTGATTACTGCTACTTGCTGACTGGTTTGGGGCAGCATTCACATGCCCACCGTTTCTCACGGGTGGAGGAGTAGCTGAAGATGCGTTGTCCTTAGGTTTTGAGGTACTGAAAATCAAAAGTCTCAAGTTAGAAGATGATTACAAAATGCCTTGCGCAGATCAACTGCACCTTTAAGGTTTACGCTATGAACCACGCTCCAGTTCTGGCCCTTACACATCTTAAAAACCTTCTGCACTGGCTGTTATTACTGACAAACTGAGCACTAAAACTCTTCAAAAAATTCACAGGTAGGTTTCAGGCAGACCTGTACAAAAGATCCATTACCAAGATAAATCAGGAATCCAAGTAGTTCTGTAACATCACAAAGCCTGTTTGAATTAAATACTGGTACTCACAGTACAGCTGCCACACCAGAGCGCCCTTTAGGTTCTTTAAGAAGTGCCCCACCAATAAGGTTCACATAAATGACTCCTTTCATTTCCTCATTCAAATATAGTCACTACTCCTGTAACTGTTAACTTTCCCAAATACTCTTGACACAGCACCACATCCAATTCACTGGTAAGGAGTAAGCAGTGGCACTCTGAAGCTTTGCCAAAAAAAAAAAAAAAAAAAAGAAAACCAACTTGCTGCATAACTCACACAGACTAGGCAGATGCAGCCCTCACTGCTCAAGTCTGCAGAGCCTTTGGAAGCCCTCAGAGACTGCAAAGGCTGTGGGTGTGGAGAGAACGGTGGTTCCCCTCCTTCTGGCTGAAACTCCCCACTCTACCTGGAATTAAACTTTCACCCTGCTTCCCGTGATCAAGGGAGTCCAGTCTGAGATGAGCATCCAAGAGAACAATTCCAGTAAAACCCCCAAAATTCAGATCAGGACATCTCAGTTCTTTCTTCTTGATATCGGAGAGAAACAACAATCGAGTATGAACCAGCCACGGTGGTTCTGCACAGTGCCTCCCCATTTTACTTCCTATGCACTTACAGTCTTCATTCATCTCTCTTTACAACATCTCCATCTCAAAATGGCAAAAACCTTTCAATTACTTACTAGCAAAACATAACCCTAATTTTTCTAGATGCTGTTATTAAATTTCATGTAGTTTTTAGATGCTGCACTTAAGGTTTCATTTTAGCTTCCTCTGCCACAAGAGACATCACTGGAGAAATACTGGTCTAGAGGGGATATTTAAACGAGATATTTTTGCAGAAGCATCACCTGGAACCAAAAGCTACATGCCAAAGAATCAGCGCTGCATAAAACTCCGTGATGGCTTTTTAATGTAAGGCGTTACGCAAGAGACTGATGGCTGGGGAGCACTACGAGCAATTTTATGCATTCACTACATCTCTCAGATCTCAAGAACAGTAAAAGCAAACTGCTGCTTTCACCGTCCCTGAAAGTAAGAATCAAAGCTACTGCAATTATTCTTGGAGTCCATGTATTCTGATACTGAAGATATGATCACACAGTTTCCATCTGTAATTGAGTAGCAGAAAAGTCTGTATACACACTTCTAAAGAAATATGACAAATTGACTTCCAGTTTTCTAGCAAGTCTGGTCACCACTAACACTTGCCACAGAAGAAGGTGACAAATCCAGATAACATGAACAAGAAACAACAAACAAGACCAATGGGTTTCTAGCAATGCCACTGGCAGGTTTTGATCTTTCAGCAGCAAACTGACAGACATGCTGCATGGACACCTATGGAGTGTAATTTGGAAAGGTCAGCATGGGCAGCAAAAGTAGATTTTATTTATTTTTTTTTTTTTTAGCATTTTTCACAATTTTTTCCTTAAGAAATTCCTTATGTTAGGAAGATCGATTCTGGAACACACATTCAAATTAAAAGATCATAAATACACGTAGAAAGAGAGCTCTTTTACAGTGCTTCTGCCCACACCCAAAAAGACTCTGCATACAACAACATGTCCTCTAATCAGAGGATGTGCCTTGTGAAGCTGATACAGCTGACATCATCAGTTTGCTGCTGAAGCAGCCAGCTAAGCCACTGCCAGCAGAAGCCATACCTCTTACCTGACATCCTCATTTCCTTGGCTTTGTAACTGTTCTGCTGTGCCAGCAGATAGGGCAAAACCAGCACCCACTGGGCTTGTTTCAGCCACAGCAGCTTGTGAGTGCTGCTCTGCTCCAGAATGAGCCAACATGCCAGCCTCTGTGGGTGGAAGTGGTGGCTGGAAAGCTGGGGATGTGTGCTTTCTATTTATAGTGCCACATCTCCGAGGGTTTGCTTGGAAGTCCATAACCTTGACACCAAAGCTACAGAAAGAAGAGAGAGTAAACACACCACGCCAGCCAACACCAGTTAACTAAAGCAACAAGACAACTGGCTGTTACAACCCACAAAGACAAGTGCAACCCCTGTTGCTTAGCATGCAAAGCAGCAACAAGGAAAGCTCCCACTGTCTGCATATAACACCATTAATGTTAAGACATGCAACACTATTTGACTTATCTGCACAGAGGGTAAACATAAGTGGAACAAATCACTCAATAACATTTGAAGACGGACTGATGACAATGAGGTCGAAACATTCAGTATTTTTACATGTAAATACATACATTTCCTTTCACACCAGAGTATCTACTGTCTAAATATGGTATGTAATAGAAACAAAATTCATGTGTCAAAACTTTTAATTTGTTGTACAGATTTCAAGACAGACTAAAAATGGCACTGGATATATGCTTCCACGATTTGGCCAAAGAAACAGGTGCCCCTATTTAACTATAGATAAAGAAACTAACAGGTTTGAGAATGTGTTTAATATATTCAAGAACTGAATTTTATGCTTGTTGTGTTAAAGACAGTGAATCCTAAACTGACTTTCTTCTGCTCCTTCTGTCAGCACTGATAAAATTACATGTGGCTACCCACAATTAACATTTAGGTAACAATTTAACACTTGCATAAATAGCTATAAACAAAACAGCACATCACTTTAATATTCATGGTATGAGTGATAAATAAGTGTTACACTACATGTTATATGGGAAAACAGCATGTTTTATTTATTTTTTTTTAGCAGTTTACTATTTGCCATGGCATACTGTACCATCTTCAAATCAGAAGTCTTATCATGAAGGCACCAGGTAACACCACCTCGGCTTATGGGCTTTGAAAAGAAGCCATGGAATACCAGAAGTTAGACACTGACAGATGTTACTACATACACTTCTGTTTCACTGGATTTCAGACCCCCCACATCTGTAATAGGAAGATGGTGATTGGAAGCAGTGGTATCTGCTTTTTTTTTCTTTTTTTATTTTAAGTCATGCACAGAGTATATCTAGTACATTACCTTTGAACCTTCCTCAGGCTGCAATAACATGGGGAAAATAAATCACTCTTGTTACCTACAATATTTTCTCAAAATTCTCCTCCTGAGACCACTAAACATGTTAAACTACAGCCTAAGAAGTCAAGTTCTCAGGAGCGAAGACTTAAAACCTCATCTGAGAACGAAACGTACCTTTCCTTCTTCAATAAATCCCCCTCCATTACAGCCATACTAACAGGCCTCTTCCGTTCCAGTGTCCCAGAATCATATTCATTCCCAGTGTGTGACAAATGATTTGAATTAACAGCAGGAACTGCAACAAATGCCCCAGACACATTGAAGTCTTGATCTGGATAAAAGACAGACACCATTCATCAGATGACATATATATACAAAATGGCACCACTTCAAAAAAAGTTACTGGAGGTTTACCTGCAAAGGGTTATCACAAACCAGAATTCTTTTAACTACAGCAAGAATTTACCTCCAGGGAAGAACCAGTCTGCATGCTGAATAATTGGCTCAATAATTGCTACCACATGGACCGAAGTTGCTGCTGCCATTTCAGCAAGGGATCTGTGGAAGAGATGCACAGAATAGCATACATAGTTCTATCAAAGTAAGAAAATAAGATATCTGGCCTTAAACAACACGTAATGCTAAGCACAATGAACCAGCACATCCCTAGGTATCACATAGAGCAACTCTGAATTTTTTTTTTTTTTTTTAGGCAAGTACTCTGTTGCTGTCAATAGTCTACATTTAAAACAACCTGATGGGAAATTCTACAGCTTCATGGAAGTTGTCTTTTACTTTTTCTAAATCCACTTACCCTTCGGTTTTTGCCCACAACAAGTTGGGGCCCAGGACTATTGCGACATTGCTGGGTGTCATTTTGTTGACATCACTGTTCTGTGCAAGCTTTGCTAAAAATTTGATTAAATACCTAAAAAAAAAAAATAAGAAGACCAAATAAACACCAGTGAGTTTTCTCCACGTGATGGAAGCTAGTGTGATACTGAGAACATAATTAGCTTTTATAGCAAGTAATAATTCTGTTCATTCGAGAAGACATTACCAACTGACAGTTCTTACTGACAACAAGGCCAAAATTCAAGAACTCCATTACTGCCAAAACCATGATCCCTTAAATGGAAGAGTTCTGTGCATCACTATTTTGCAGTCAGCAGTAAACTAACTTGACTGAAAAATTCTACCAGTAGCAAACTATTGCACATCAACTACTTGATGAAGCAGGATGTCATTTTATAAATCTAATAAAATTTGGCCAAGTTAAAAAAAAAGGATTAGAGTTTCAGCTAATTAATATCAAAACTAGCTGCACAGTGGCTTTGATGGTTGAGCACTACAAGTCAGTATATGTGCACACATACCTGAAATTAGCATGAAAATGCTTAGGTAATTTGTTACAAATCCTCCATAACTCTTGTAGCTTCTTATCCTGGTCCTGAATACTGAAAGGGAAAAAAAGAAAATGTATTACATCTTTCTCACAGATTAGAAAAAAGTTATTTCTGAAGAGAACAAAAAAAAAAGACTATAATTTTCCATTTATGCCTAATCAAAACACATTGTTGTACTCAGTAATTCAACAACCTGCTTTTCAAATGTTCGAATTATCTCAACCTTCAACAAAGCCAAAACTGCTTAAGCATCAGCACAATCCACAGAAGTCTAACTAATTTGCTAGAGAAAAAAATCTGTGTTCAGAAACGAACAATGTGAGTTTGGACTTTTGAGTTTACCTGAGGATCCAAATTTGATAAAAAATGTAAAATATTTTTCTACATAAGCCTTTGTAGCACGCTTACTTTGCAGCTTGTGTCCACTCTTCATAAAGACTGTAGGTCATTAAAGGCTCTGGCAATTCTCGCAAGTAGGACTTCAAGGCACCTGCAGAACAGGCAAGTTTCTTAGTCAATGCTTCCAGTCTATTTAAAATTGAAATTCTATCTATGCAACAGTACTCAAGCCCCAGTGAAACATCAGGACAGTCCAGCACTTCCATAATCTGTTCAACAGTGAACACAAGAGGCTTGTTAGTCATTACTGTAATTAGACAGAAATGTATATTATTGAATTATGAAGCATCCTTCAGAACAACCTTATTAAAGCTACGTATGGCTCTGGTCTCATGAGAATTACTAGCATGATCAAGGGAGAAATAGGATATTGGAATTACCACAATCACCTGAATTTTAATCGCTACGCTGGCATGCAAATGTATCAAGTATGGTCAGCATGTATGCCCTATACATAACCATGTTAAATTATGCAATTGAACTTTCATTATACTTCTATTCACTGCTTATCTGCACAGAGGTCAACACCGTAGCAAGTCAACAGTTAACGAACAGAATAAATTTGTGTTCTACCCATTTGTCTCTGTTTTGACTCAGAACATTCACAGTACCTGCAACAGCATGGGGATCAGAATAAAATTCATCAAGTTGTGAAGTTGAACAGTCTAAGGCAGCTTTGAGCTTTTTTAACTTGGAGGCTCCAGCAGCAATTCTGAATAAGCCCTGCATGATAAAAAGTGAAAGTTTTATGACTCTCTCAAAACAGTTCATAGTTCAGCGTCATCTTCACTTTATATTGCTTTACCAAGCTGACTCTTGATGTGCCACTGCCATCTGATAACACTTTGGTCCCTCATCACTCTTGGTCCATTACCCATTTTTCATTCTAGTCATGTCAAATATACTACAAATAGTGCTGAAGCCTTCATGTTACAAGACTTATTATCTACATTAATGAGAAAAGTTACTTAAGCAAACTTAAAAAGCACAGATATCAGTTCATGAGTTTCACTACATTCTTCTTCTTTCCTTCATAGAGCATGATACAGTGACACACTTACCTCCTCCTTCATCCCTGTCTCCAGAAGCATCATTACACAGGCTTCAATAGGGATTGCAATTTCACGACCACTGCGCTTGAGATGCTCTTCCAATGGTGTTCCAAAGGCTGGTTTTTCAGTCCATTTGTCTAATTGAAGAGTATTAAAACACTGAGCAAAATATCTAACAATCACTTGGATTACATCCCAGGCAAGAAAAGAAGAAAGCCTCTAGCTAAGAAATCTGCAGAACACGGTAGGAGTTGTACAGCCCTTGACAGGTAACATCTCTCATATGATGAGTAAAGAGAACACGAGCCTGCCAGTATTCCCCATAAAAAATACTTCTGCATCTTTCCAGATGGCAAACCAAGTGCACATCTTCCATATAACTGAGAGCACACATTACTAGGCTGTCACATCCGAACATTACATTGATTCTGATTTGCTAAGACTCCAAAAGTCTTAGGTTTACAAGAATCTTTGAGAAAAACTTTGCCCAGATTTCAGGACTTGGGCTGATCTGAGTTTTATCTAAGATAGATATAAACAGAGCTGTTAATGTAACATTAAGTTTGTTGCTGATTTAAGAATCAGCAACTTCAAATAGGAGTGAATAATCTTACAATCAGAACATTTGCAGCATATCACTAACACCTGCACAGATTTTCAACTTCACATCTCCCAATTGTCCCTCAGCTTTTAAAGTCAAAATTGGCACACATTTCTCCAAACAGAATGTGAATTTGTTTCCATTTTTCACCATTATTTCTGCTGTTTTAATTGAAAAATGCAGATGTAAAACAATGCAAAACGTTATTAATTGTTAGTAAAGATGCATTCTTTCTCTCATACGGAAAAAAAAGTTAAGATGTTGAAGGAGTCTTCCAAAGACACGATGCACTTCTGCAAAGAGTTTTTTTTTTTTTTTAAAGAAAAAATCCCAGCAACATATTAACTATATCCCCTTCACATGGCTTTATTTCCCTTCATTCAGTAATATACCATGAGCGGCCCATGCTATTTTCATCAGTTTTACAAGGTACAGGAAACAAGGAAATCTTAGTAGTTGCTCAAAGTCACAGCAATTTAACTGCAGCTAGAAACAACCGCAGTCACATCCTGCACAGAGACACTGGACCACTCAGATGGTATCCCCCTGGGGGCACCTTCTAAGGAAGGCTAATCTGTATTGAAGCACTCACCATATGAAAAGCTTTGCACAAAGCAGCTAAGCAACAAAGAAAAATTAAACCAGTTGGATCTGTATCTTGTAAACGGAGCCTTCCACACAGCCATAATGCAGCCCTCATGCTGTGTAAGTATCGTTTGTTACTTTGCATTTCATCAGATCCACAGAGAACAGATTATTCTCTATCATTTTTCAGCAAGATGCTCACATTTCTTGGCATCTTTAGTTTACTGGTTCATCTTTCTACAATATCCATATGATCTGCTACTGAAGATAGTCGAGTCTCGTTCAGCTCCAAATGTCACTCAGACTTCGTTCAACCTAATTCTACTGATCAGTAGATTAAGAATCAGTACAGTCAATTAAGGATAGTTATTTCAACAGCACACAGTGCATCTTCAGACCAAACCATTACTGACTCTCCTTATTTTATGCTGACAACGAAAATCTTAATAGCATGGGGAAGAGATGAAACTGTCTTACTAGCCTCTTAGCTGCTGATATTCAACACAGCAAACTCAACATTGCAGTGTGCACACTGGGAAAAAAGGTTGCATAGGAGGAAAAAAAGAAAAGTTCTTTACAATCTTGGGAATTTTTCTGCTGATTGTCTTACTAGTTATTCAAGAAACAAAAGACCCTGAAGTTCCTAAATCACAAATTTTCATCATCTGGAAGAGTCAGGTATAAATTAGCAAAAGGTCACATGAGAAATAGAAAAATCCTTCCTTTGTCCTTTTGGGTATGAGACAGATCCTTAGTATTCTATTAGCGTGTTAAAATATGGCTGGAGAACTCCAGAGAACAGAGCAAAGATGGAATTATGCTTGGGAATGCAGAATTGTTAAGTAGATCAAAATGACCTGATTTATTAAGACTGCATGCAAAAGAATCAAGATAAAGGAGAAGAATATTGTGCATAGGTGGCACAGGCAAGGAGAAGCATCAGCCAGAGCACAGGTTACTTTACCTTGATGGGCTTGAATTTCGGGTAGGACCTTTTCTATGACTGTTAATGCTTTTCTATGGTAATCTGCTTGTGCTTCTAATAACTGAGAACAGAAGCCACATTTTAAAAAACAAAAAGAGCATTAGCTTCTGATGAGCACATAAGACTAGGTTTAGCACACAAAATGTAATCTTTGAGAATTGAGTGTCTATGCATAAGTGCTGCAGTCAAGTTCATACTGAAAAAAATACTCACCATAACAAAAAACTTAGCATATTCTCCTTCTTTGGACACAAAGTTATACATATCTGCTGCTAGTTGATCCTTTGAAAAAAGAAAAAGATGCAAAATAGCAAGTTAAATTTACAAAGGTGTTTCAACTTATACACAGAGACAGTATGTACATCTGTTTTGCCTACACTAACTTTGAACCATTGATTCAGGCTGCACAGACAGCCAGTAATTGCCCCACTCTGCTATACACACTAAGCAGTAAGCTTGAAATGAATTCATGGCATGAACTATTGGTAACTGCTAACTTCTCCTCTGGGTTAAAATCAGACATTTTTAGACAGAATCTTATAATTGTGTGGGTGAACACAAGATACAATCTATATTGTACTGTTTTTAGGGAAAGTACACACAAGAGCATACTTCATTTCTGAATAGTTAGTAACATGCTTTATGACCACACAGTTCATTTTCATTAAAGCAGAATGCATTCAAAATGCCTGCTTAATACATCAAAGAAGGGGGCCACTGAGGTAAGCAATTGGATTGTATGGCAAGATTATTTAAAGTCTATCCTGGAATGAAAAGATAAGTACTATTAAAAGGTTTTGGAGCTCAACTGCATCATAATCTAGCATTCAACTACTGAGAAGTGAAACTGAATGTGAACTGCTCAGAGCTGTGCTACCTCCTGGCTACTCAGTGGCTAGAGGTACACAGATACCCTGAACTTTTAAGTCAAGGCTTAGGCAGTTTCTTCTTATAACTGTTTCAGACTAAACCAGCAAATAATGTAAAATACTTATCCTAAAAAGTAAAGTTCCTCTTAAATGAAAGCACTTCAATGTTTAACTAGTCCTAATTACATCTTTAAAACACTTGGTTTATTAACAGACCCGTTACTTGCGACTGCAAGAAGCAAGATAGCTAGTGCCACAAGCAAGGCTTATGAAAGCAGCCACACTCTGATTGCTATTGTTGCTAATGAGAGAAATGTGTAAACAATAGAGATGCCTCTTGTTTTACCTTGCATTGCTCTACTTTATTTCCAGCTTCATCCATTTCTTCCTTAAGGGAATCTATTTTTGAAGGATGCATTTGAAAATTTGTTCCTGAAGTCTTGTGGGCTTGGTTATACCTGCAGAAGAAAGGCTTCAGTCATTTGATGAAGTCTAGTATTAATCAACAACCTGCACTGAGGGCTCACTTCTAAGACTGTTTTCTTTTGACCGGAAAAAGCCAAACATTTCAGGGGTTTTCAGGTAAGCAAATATCAAAGTCAGATCAGGTATCAACAATAAGCCCATGTGAACAGTGTAGGACTAAGTATTTGAAACTACTTCTTACCTTCCCCTAGCAGAATCCCAGTCCAAAACCAGTTTCGCAAGCTGTTTCCTCTGCTTCTGAATGTTGGGAATCTCTACCTAGAACCAGAATTCAAGGCATACATTTATTTCTGCAGAGTGCAACATGCTACATTTCGTAGATTTCATGTCCACTTTCCACCACTAACTCACTACTATCTATCTTACCAGCAGTGAGATAAACCCTTTTTTGCTCAGTTGATAAATAAAAATCCGGATTTATTTCTTCAGCCAGGCTCATATGACTTACCTCTGTTAGCGTGCTCAGTGGTTCTAGAATGTCCTTTTCAATCTGTACTTCATGATGGGAGAGCTCCAATGCCAATTTATTCTCTGCATCACCACACGTATCAAGCATTTTCCTTTAAGAATTGTAGGAAATGGTTGCAATGTGAGTTACTATTGACTGAAGAAGAATGATTTAAAATAACAATTGTGGGGCTTTGTTCTTTGCTACCCTTTTGGAAAGTCTGCATTGTACAAAGCAAGCCTTTAATGCATAAAAACAAGCTGTTCTATGCTGTCACTGGCAAACTCGGTATAGGCAAGGAGTGCTATTAAACTGTAATTCCTTAACCATTGTAATAGTCTTGGAGGCTTTAAGTCTCTAGATGATTACACTGGTCCCAAGGACAGAAAAGTCAGTATTTATTTTGAAGCTTATCTTTCCATCTTACCAGGCACTGAAAAAAATTGCTCAATACAGTATTTAATTTTCTCCTAAGCCACTTTGATACAAAAGAAGTCTTAATGCCATAATTGTAGGTAATCAAAAGGAAACAGCTACAGTTCCAAAAATCATACTTTGACCTTTGTTTCAACCTCGTTCTAAGGGAAACATGTTCTTTATAATTTTTACCCAAGTTTAAATCTCATCCAACAGCTCACAAAAATGCATGCAAATGTTTCTGGGCTGTTCACCCTGTCTCTATTAGAATCTCCATCAGCAACAAGAAAACAGTTGCTTCAGGAATTCAGCATACTGATGGTTGTTTCAACTGCTTTCCTGAAAATAGCAAAGAAATACTTTGCCAGGCTAAAGAAACTGGCACTGCTTTAAACTAGAAGCCATTGATGCAAATCTGCAGAATGTAGTATTTACACCAGATTTTGAACTTTAAACTGGAGTAATCATTTTAACAGTCCACAAGGAGATAAGTTAATTTTCAAAAGCTTTTACAACAGCAGAATGTCAGAATCCTCTGGAATGCAATTCAGAGCAAACTTACAACTTGTTTCCAGAAAAGTTCCAGAAGAATTGCTTGCTCACTTTTTATTCCCATGAGATAGAGAGAGAATTTAGAAATATTAGTCTCATTAGCTTGAGAACAGCCTTTGTGTATATAAAGTCTCTAATTAGAACTCTGCAAGCAACAAAATCTCAGACAACTTCTTATAAAGAAAGTCAGATACTCACCCCAACAGCGTTTCATCACTTAGCTGGGCAGATCCCTCTTGCATATTTTGAGCAAGAGCTGTTAGAGGAAGCTTTTTCTATGGAACAGAATGAACAGTGCTTAGTTTACTTAATGCTATTGACCCTTCCCAGATTTTCCAGTATAAACCCCCTAAACTTTTCTTCCATTTTGTTTCTCTTATACATATATGCAACTCATTGCTTGACTTTAAGAAAATGCAAAGTCGCAAGAAGTTTCAAGCCGAAAGATTCATGTTCTCAGACACTGAGAAAAGCAGTCTGAGTTGCAAAGTCTAGTCCAAATTGCACCACGACTGTAACAATGCTAAATAGCTTTAACTTGAGATTTTTTTTAAGCTTGAGCATTAAGCAACTAGATCATTCATTTCATGGCAGAGAAATGTTTTCTGTGCCCATTTTCAGAATAATTCTTTTTCAATAAAAGGAGAAAATTTGAATGTTAATCATTTCTGGTTTTAATGCATTAAGAAAACCTTCCTGTGGCTTCGCTAAAGAAAGCTAAGGGGCAGAAATCAAGTATACCAACCAAAGGTTTACGGTTCATTTGAGAAATCTGTGCTCAAAGGCAACTGTAAACATGAGGAGCTTGATCAACAAGGCAAAGCATTGCCCTTTGTTAGCTCTTACGAATGCTTTCAGTACTCAGCACAATGCAGAAATGGGCACCCTGACAATACTAAGGTATTCTAAGTTCACGTTATTATATCTGGATGATGAACTATAGTTAGTATTTTACCAAATAATGTCAAAATGTGGAATTTTATATATACATTTTTTCTTTTTCCACAGTCACACTTCTCTTGGATAACATCAGGCACAGTGACTGATCAGAACAGAGAAGGCCAACCTGTATTCAGACTAGTCTCAGAACAACCCAAGGAGCAGCTGTACTTACATGTCTCTTATCAGGGTCTGTACCATACTGGCCCTGAGAACACGCAATTAACCGTTTCTGTGCGATGTGGAAAACAGATCTCACAGTGTCAAGACGTCTCTCGATCTAGTAGGCGGAAGGGGGACAGAGGAGGAAAAGAAAATAAGAAACAGAAGTTATTTTCTTGGCCTCAGCAGAAAAACCTTCCTCCTATATCACATTTAGTTCTGGCTTGCTTATTTCTCAAGTTTTGTAGCTTACAAAGAAATTCAAATGCTTTACAGAATGCCTGACAGCAAAAATACAGCACGTTCCAATGAACGCCAATTCTGTAAATTCACATCAACAATAGGCATCCAGGTGATATTGACACATTTTCCCTTTTCACTAGGTTTATTATGCACTTATGGACAGTAGCTGCTGGGATGGGATATGCAAACATCTATGCAGCTGCACTGGGAAGCATGCAGTCAGTCCCAACAAAAGCAAGCAGCGCAAACTGCAGCTGCTAACAGGGGTAGCAGCTCTAGCAGAGAGGAACCTGTTCTATTTTGTTCAAGTCAAGATTAAAAGCTACCAACACATTCCAAAGCAGCCTCTATTTGTGAATGTCTTTTTTTCTGAGGTCACACAGTTGAGACTTTTTAAAACACCAAGCACAGGTTTTCATCCCCACATGAAGTGCAGTAATCCCAGTGAAGGGCCGCCCCCAGCACACTGCCAGCTCACAGCTGCCACACGTGCTGCTCACGCTCCCCAAAAAGGCTCTGGAGAGCTGACATTCCAGCAGCCTCCTTCCAGGCAGCCAGAATACCAAACGGCAGAAAGACTGATAGGAAGAACTTGACCCCAAAACTTCATGATTATATACTCTCTGCTGATCTGCTTTTGAGCTCAAAAAAGACATGAAAACCACAAGAGACATTAATATGCATTAAGCTACCTCTGAACTGCAAATGTGACCTTAAGGCCAAGTTGTCTGCAACCACAGAGCATCTTCAGTGTACAAAGTATCGAGTGACTGCTTCACTATAGGCTATAAGGGCATTCCAGAAGGAGGGCCCATTGCAGAAGCCTTTGAAGTACTGAATCACACTGCTTCTTTTCAGATGGGAACATATTTAACAGCGATACCTGGAAATGGAGTACTACTCTCCACAAAACAGGAAAAAAAAAAAAAAAAAACCAACCAAAAAAAGCTATGACAACCCTATGTCAAAGCTAGTGATAAATATAAAAAGAAACACCGGAACATTTACAAGATGAACAGCACCATGCTTTTAAGCTCTTTAGTTAGATAAGAGCCTCCCTGCCCTCCATGAGCCCCCAAGTGCAAACAAACAAGTGAATAAATTCTTCCACTTGGGTGTAGCCAGTCTGCTGTGTGCCTGGGAAAGCCCTGCTTGCAAAATTTTTTTGGCAACAAGCAGCAGAATTTTTGGCTTTCACTTCTTGTTGCTATTCTGCAGCCAATGAAGAAAACACACGGGCCCCTAAAGGCTATCAAGGTGTTTCAATAACACCCCTATCAGTTAACTGTGCACACCCTTCTAGAAATTAAAAACAGCGTTGTCAAACTGCTGAGACATCCACGGCTCAAATAAAGCAGTCCCATGGAAAGCAGAACACAGCGTTTCAGGTCGGATCACTTCACCATTACTCAAAATGACTTCATGTGCTGTAACTGCATTCAAGTTCTAAAGCCGGTACATTCTCTCATCTTCTACTTTAATCAGAACAGCTGGAGAGAGATAAAATAAAAGTAACACCTCATTTGTTTGGCCTCTGTGTCTCCTACACAGCTCTTGAACTCCAGCATACTGAGATGCTTAGTAAACAACTTGAAATAACTGTAACACTGAAGGCTGAAGGAGCAGCTGGGGTACCTGACTCCAGCCAACTCATCTGCCTTTTTTTTTGCCTTCTTTCTTCTTTTTAAAAGCCTTTTGCAAAATGACCAAAGGAAGAGAACAATGTAGAAGAACAAGTCTGTAGTCACTTTGTTTTGTGTAATCAGCCAACCTTGTAATGTAACAGCAGCAACTAGAATTCCACCATGAAACATTTGATGAGATGGCATATATCATGAGAATGACAAGTCTGCAAACAAACGTCAGTGTGACAAGTCTGAGAACAAATACTGCAAGCTAAACTAGAAGCACTTATGCACTCAGAACAATTCCAAAAACGACACCTGTTGGCATGCCCTTGGCATGCTTTTTGCTATTTCCTTTAAGGGCCAAGATGGTCCCTTCCAAAGCGGCACAAGTGAAGACAAACCAGCTGTGCCTAATCACTGCTCCTTCCCACATCATCACGCTCCAATTTTTTTGAATTGGTACTCCCCAAAATTCAGAAGGCTCAAACTTCACAAAGAGAACATTAAGCATATGTGTAACTGCGTTACAATACCTGCAGCAGGTCTTCACTAAGCACCTCTGTTTTCTCAGCCCTAGGTAAGAAAAAAAGAACATTGTCAGACAAATTAGCAGAAATGACTACAATGCTGTTATCTGTTCACCTGAAGGTAAAGGAATATAATGAGAAATGGAGGACAACCAAATCCATCTTTTTATATTTTACTTCGGCAGTAGTAAATCAATTGGCAATCAGCATTAATGGAAGCGTGACCACCTTACCTTCATCTTCCATCAACATGACCTTCACCAGAAACCCTCCCATGACCTCATTTTGCTTGATTCCCCACATCTTTTCTATCATTTTATTATTATCATTGAAAAAAATAAGAAGTATCAAAAATTAACAGCTTTCCCAGTAAAGGTCTGCTCTCAACAGAAAAATATCGGAACGCTTTCAGACAGAATGTTAAAGGCTGCTATATAATTGTGCATACACACACTAAAACCTCTGGCATACAGTTCTAACCTTTTTTCTACTCCCAGCTTACACACAAACTTTGAACTGTTTAATGTTGAACCAGATTTGCTTGGTGTCGATTTATTTTTATATAACACTGCTTTAAAAGACCTTTGTTTTAGCTACAGAATCAAGAGAAACCCAGCCCATCCCATCTCTCACTGTAGGGGGACTTTGAGGTATCCCGGTAGTTGATTTCTTCGTTCACAAAGTAGCACGTCAGTTTGTCTACGGCACTGTGCCCCTTCTGCTCTTAGGAACTGTTCAATATCTCACTGCAAGTCTGACCATCTGCAGAAAGTCCATTCTATTGATGGAGATTCACCAGCTGAACACAACATTCGTTCACTTGAATTTTTTCAAAGGTATTTGACTTCAATTTCATGGCGCATTATCTGCTCGAACTGTTGGTGAACCATTAAGTGCTCAATAACTGAGCAGCAGAATACAGCGATGCTCAAAACCTCAGCAAGACAAAAGCCATACATACTTCGATAGAAATGTAAACTGCAAGAACTGTAACATTTGTTTAAGAAAATACACACAAGATTGATAAACCTCCGCACAACTAGAACTAGTGAGCCTGAACAGAATTACATCCTGTAAGAGGTCAGTCATTTAATTGTTGAGGTTAATGACCAGGTTAGCACTCTTGCCAAATCCCACCGGAAGCTCCAAAGAACTGGAAATGCTCCAGTAACAGCAGCACATTCTTAAACAGATTTTGTAGAGGGTGCTCACTGTAAGAACAGTCTAAGCTCAAGTGGCAACTGGCATCCACATCAGCTAGCTGAGCTGACACAAGCACACAACACTAAGTAGCATTTGTGTGAACGAGGTATGCCATGACTTCTACACAAAACCAAGAATTCTGCAACAGCTGGAGAAGTGTTCCAGCCTCTGATCATCTTTCTAGTTGTCCTCTGGACATGTTCCAACAGCTTCACACCATCCTTATGCTGGGGATCCCAGGCCAGCATGCAGAACTTCTGATGGGACCTCATGAGGGCAGAGCAGAGGGGGACGATCCCCTGCCCGCTCCACAGCCATCCCTCTGCTGATGCAATCCAGGATGCAGTTGACCTTCCCAGCTACAAGTGCACACTGCTGACTCACTGCCCAGCTTCTCACACACCAGGATTCTCATGTTCTTCTTGGCAGGGTTGCTTTCCATAAGTTATTTTCCCAGTCTGCATACATATTGAGGACTGCCCTGACCCAAGTACAGCACCTTCCATGAAGCTTTGTTGAACCTTATCAGGCTCATGTGGGCCCACTTTTCAAGCCTGTCAAGGTTGCTCTGGATGGCATCCCTTACAATAAACTACAGCATGAGCGATGTGAGAGCAGCCTTCTCCCCCTTCTTCACATAAATCCAGGTCTCAGTTTCCTCCTTCCACCTAGAAATCTGTTTAAGAAGAAACGCAGCTGGTTTCCACATCTACTACATCTACTTTGTAATTAATGTTTACACTGACTCCCCTCTACACAGCTCTAGCCTTTAATTTGGCTTAGTGGAGAGGAACAAATTAGAGGAAGGTATTTCAACAGTTTATTTACCCTCTATGCTGACCCACTTTTACGTATTTACGTGGTATGAAACAGCCACCTCCAGAGAAGTTCTGGCACTCCGGAAGAGAACACACGTTAACCTAACAACCAACTTCATGATATGAAGCAGCCACTTCAGATGGCACAATGCAAAACAATTTCTAAAAACATTTAGAGTACCTACAACTGGATACGTGTGCATCATTTAAACCGTGAGCTGCAGTAGATCTATGCCCTAGCAGGGAATACCAATTAATATTACATTAAAAAGCTTTCAGTTTTCAGGACCGAGCTCACCGGGTTTTCCTCCAGCCATGCTGCAATAATCAAACTGCTGTAACCACAGCACTTTACAGATTCCCTCTTAGCTACTGGGAGTCACAAAACGCATTTTACATAAGTTACCTTCAGAGGAAAAAAAGCTCCTAATATTAACACATCTTTGTGTTCCTCAAATCCTTCCTTACACTATTACACTATTGCCATTCCTCTTTGCACATGTGGTTGCTTATCAAAGTATCTGGAAAATCCAGACCGTGGTGGGCAGGGGCTGCTGCTCCCAGTCTCGCGTCTTTTTAGGAAAGCTGCTGATTATGTCAGGATTGGAACCACAGAGGAAAGACCTCACCCTTCCTGCAGGCCCACATTCCACCTTTAATAATAAATGCAAGGAAGAGCCACCAAATAGCACTGTTTCTCAGTGACCACTACCATCAGGCAGAAAATGCAACCTTGTGACTGCATCCTGCCTCAGCAACAGCCCCAGGTTCTCAGTTGAAACATAGATTTCAAAAGCAAAACTGAACAATTGCACGGTTGCAGCTATAACCACCTCCACAGCCCACGAAGAAGGTAAGCACTGAGCTCTTAAAATTTTACTGAGGACAGCAAGCTGTGCTCTTAACCTGAAATATGTCACACCGCAGATGCTGGTGCCATTTTTTCTATGGGAGTGGCATGGCAAGACCACAGTGCCTTAACTCACTCCAAGGGAAAAACAACCACCAAGAGGTTTGAGAGAGGAAAGGCTGTAACTTTAATGAACGAACTACGTTAATTAAAATACCTCAGCTTGCTATGACATTTTACAGGTTTATTGCATGTGTTCTCAGCCCTCCTCTCCTGTGTTTTATAGCCCCGTGCATTTCAGACACTCCCATCTCTTCGACAGGCCCTGGGGCGCAGTGCAGCGCTGCTGGAGAGGCCAGGCGCCAGGCACTGCTCACCCCAGCCCCAACAGCAGCACCCCCATCCCCGCGGGGGCCCCCCCCGGCACTGGGGAGGGAGGACCTCTGGCTTGTGCATCTGGGAACAGCAGAAGAGAATTCCTGAGATAAGAATGCTCATCTTCCATGGTGGGAAAAAAAAAAAATCTACATTTGCAGGTACAAAATTTGCAGAGCTGAAGAGTTAAAAAAAAAATTGAAGCTGGATCTGAACAATACCTGACATCTCACTAGCTGCACAGCAGAGTACTGTCACTACCACAGCACCAGAACTGACCAGGGAACATCTCCTGAATGGTCAAAGCTACAAAACCAATGGAAATTTACACTCTTGACAGGCAAACAAGGAAGGAACAAGAGCAATCCTGCCATGCGGGGCCATAAACCCTGGGCATCTGCAACAGAACAAGTGACTCAGTGCAGGAGTGGAAACAGAAACCCTGACTCACACAGCAGAGCTGGTGGAGGCAATGCCAGGGAGGGCAAGGCTGCACGGGGCACCCTGCAAAGCCTTCACTGGAAATTAGGAGATACCTACCAGGAACATGAGATGAAATTCAAGCACTCCTTCTTGCTGCTTGATTTTGCTTACAGTTTTTGTTTGTTACCCAGAGTAACCAGATTAGCACTCGCTGGCAAGTTAACGCTTTGCAGCACATCCTGCCTGCTTCCCACAGCACAATAGCAGGACTTGTTGCCAGGAAAAATGAAGGAATCAGCAGCTCTACTCCAAAACAAGGAGCCCAGGATTAGGTGACAAGTTCCCTTCTAAAAGATTTGCTTTTTTTTTTTTTTAATACTAAGTCAGGCCTCACAGAAAATGGAACTCAATGTTGTGGGGCTAACAGCTCTGTTCAACACTGTACTGAATTTCAGGGACAGATAGGCTTTTTAATCAGTGTTAACTATAAATATAACCCAAATTTATGGAGTCTCATTACTAAACGTGTCAAAATGGAAAGAAAACTTCCATCAGGGGAAAAGAACTGAACAAGACACGGGGCATTGGGTGGCTCCCTTCCAATAAGGACACAGGAAAACAGCTCCAACATTGAGAATCCACTCCCAAGTACCATTTATCAACACTTGAAATGACTGCTTTAATCAGCATCTGAATGTGAAATAGAGTGGCAGCAGCTTGCCCAAGTTCAGCTTGAGTTTGACTTCTCAAGTGGGCAGGGGGACACAGGAAGCCCCCAGTCCCAGCTCTGCCCTGATCCGCAGCAGCCGCTCGCACCGAGCCCTGCTATCTGAACGGGTGTCAAGCAATGCAGGTTGCAGTGCAGGTTTAACACCAGTCTCCCATTTCCTGTGTTCTACCAACAGGCTGCATTTCCGTACACTTCTCATAAGCTGAGCTCCATAACACCCATATGTTAAAGGAAACTTCTGTGCCTGAAAAGCAAAGCTTCCACAATTGCAGACTCTGTAAATGCATGTATTAAATGTCACTTTTCAAAACCACTTTATAATAGAGGATTTATTTTGCTTTCTTTGGCAGCGTTCTGCTTTCTGGATGCACTACAGGAGTTTGCTTTCACCTGTGCGGCATTTTGAGGACAAGCCAGAGCCAAAACACTTGGCCATGTCCTCTCAAAACCACAGAAACCAACTTTGTGTTACACAAGCTCCAAGTTAATCCATTGGACTCCCTTCCACAGCAAAGCCAGCAGCAACACTGGGAGCAGGGTGACAATTTGGAATCCTCACTGCAGCTGAGTTCTTTCCAGAAGACACCAACATGACACAAAGTAAATACCAGTATTCTGCAAAGTTCTCTTTCAACCCGCTTTAACATCCCTTCAGAGCCACATTCAGTTGATTACAACCTTCTTTCAGCATTTACTTAAAATTTAGAGACACCTCTAAAAAAAAAAAAAAAAAAAAAAAAAAAAGCCACTAGCCAGACTTCAAGTTTGTCTACTGCCCCCATTTTTCACCCAAATTAACAGTACAAACCTATGCAGAAATACTGCAAATGTTTATTGTAGATCCAGTGGCCACGGCCGCTTCAGTAGAAGTAGGATAAATCATTCTGTGGCTCCTGTTTTGGAGGAGATACCCACGAAGTGACTTCCTAGAGAAGGTCCTCGGGCAGATTCAGTTTTCATACTTTACTGCAATACTCAGGTCACCAATTTTAACCCATGTGGTTACTGCAGGTTTAGTGCTTATAACCCTTTACGAGTGCTGTAACAAACATGGCAACATCTTCTAGGCACCAAAACACATCATCAGTCACAATCTACATACTCAGAATCCCTATGTCTGCCAAACTACAACTTCACCCTCACTGAACAGATGACTGTTTCTGCTCCTCTGCCTTCCTTCATTTTACTCACTGAGTTTCTCCATCAGACTTTGATCACTCAATCTAGAGGCCACAACCTTGACCTCTTCTATAATCTCAGGCAGCCAATTTTGAAGAAGGAAGCCTTTCTGCTCAAATTAAAGACAGACGACGCTTTAGGAAGATAATCATCTTGGAAACAAAGCAGACTGCCTCCACAGCAGCAGGGAAGCCCATGACAGCCTGTTTGCATTACTGGGTTGAAATTCCTCGCTCAGTGAAATGGATTCAAGGCTCCTCTCCAGGCAAGGCAATAAATTTAGCTATTGAGAACAGCCACAGCTCGAGCCAGATCCTATTTCAGGGCCATTCTAGGAGGCACAGCACCAGCAGAGAGGCTTGCACTACTCTCCAACCCCATTCCTGTAAAAAAAAAACAGTTGTTAATATTAGAAGTTGGGACTTAAACTGCATATACTGCCATTCGAGAAAAAAATAAACCAGTTAATTTTTATAACAATTCTAGGCAAATAATTATGAGTGACAGCTCTTACAAATTAGAGACAAACATAGTCGAGTTTCCTAGATGACAAAATTGCAACTGGGGTCTGAATACAGAAGAAGATTTAAAGCAATTTTGTCCTAATGGAGAAAGGCACAATTCAGCGAGCAGTCTTTGACAAGCCTGATAGTTTCTCAACATCTGGTTATAAATAAAACTTTACAATTAAGTGCTTCCAGTTGTTACTGTCCCTGTACATTGAGTATTTACTGCAACTCTACTGTTTTATACCATTACAAAGCTTTAACTCAAGTTCTTCCTGTATTCCTACTTCCAAAAAATCAAACAGAAAGAACCCCAATGCACATTAGGCCATAAAGGTAATGTGGTTTCTCTTTCAAAAGTGCATTTTGTTCTGAAGACACTGTCATATAAATACTTTCTGAAGGTGCTGTGGTGAGGGATTAAAATTCTAACTGCTTCAATCCAGCCAGGGTGAAATCAAGCAGCGGTCATGTGTTTGTTCCCAAGTAAAATCTCCTGTGTCAAGTTGTAAAAAATAAGCAGCAAAAAGAAAAGTTAGGATATAGAAGAATAGTTTTCTCACCTGGTCAAACCCCAGCGAGTTTTCCATGCCTTTCTTTTTTCCCTTTAAGTATTACAATACAGATTTGTCATGCTGAGTGCACTCAAATACTTAACAGTACTGTGGAAATTCCCAAACGTCAGGTTATTGATATGAGTTAAAATTGCATAAAACACCCTCATTAAAAATCTTTATTAAAATACTATATATTTAACTGCACAATATTTACATATAAATGGTGGTTTTTTGCCCACCCATGAAAGACCAAGCAAGCAACCTTTTCTCCCACACAATACTTTTACCTAAAATTAGATGGATAACATTTTGATATAGAAAATAGTTGGGGAATAAGCCATCTAATCACAGAATCATTAAGGTTGGGAAAGATCTCTGTGACCATTAAGCCCAGTTTGATGATAACACAGTCATTGTACACTGACATGGACATCGCTGCTGCCAGGATGAGCATTCCCACCACGCTCCAGTAGTGCCCACAGCACCCCCAGGAACTTGGCCCACTTAAAGCAACCCCACCTGGGATGCATCACAGCAGCAGCCTGCAGCCTCATCTCTCGCAGACAGCTCTGTAGAGCTGCTCTCTCTGCCCTTGCAGCAGTCTGGGCTTGTGCCAGCTGCAATCAGCAGGAAATTACACTGAGATAAGGGCAATGGTTGGACTGCTGCCTCAGGTGCTTCCCTTCAGAGTTCCTCCTTCCTGAGTACTTCCTAAAGCAGCCCCATCTCATGTCCTGGTCCTCCATCCACCCATCTAGCCACTCCTGCATCCCAAGCCAGCAGCCCCACGCTGATGGGTCAGGGCCACATCCCACACAGCTCATCCTCTGCTGCTGCTCCCCACAGGCAAAGGGCAGGGGAGTGGCACCTGCTCAGGCTTCGAAGGCAGAGGTGAAGTTTGTCCCCTTAGCAAGGAGCTGCTTAAACAGCCACTGCTGTGGAAGCACAGCCTGAGGTCAGCTCTGCCTCTAGAGTGAGGTGCAGCCAGTGGGCACCACCAGGAGCTGTGCCCTCAGGCTGCTGCTCTCCCCATCCAGCACCACCACAGATCCAGCTGAAAAATGACCTGCTTGAGAGAAAAGATGTTTCTCAGCCAGACCAACTTCATCATAGTGGTCACAGCTGCAAGCACAGAGCTGGGAACAAACAGACAGGAGCACAAGGGCACTGTACTGAGCCACCACTGCATCTCAACAAACACGAAGCACAGCTGGTGGGCAACATTTCAGTGGGTAACAGAACAGCTCTGTGATTTCCTACATGTGAGTTTGGCAGCTTTTCATTTCAGACAAGGACTGTCTCCCTTGCCAGATGACCTGCAGACTGGAGAACCCTTTCAAAAGTAAAGAGAAAAAGCAAGTTTGATTTCTTCAGCCAGCATTCAGACTGCTACAGAATAAGCAAATTGCCCACATGCTTGAAACATTTCAAAATTCTCATTTTATTTAATCAGAAATTCTGCATTATCAATCATTAGAAGGGATAGGAAGCAGCACTACCTTCCACAAACACAAAATGCTTTCAGCACAGACAGCCTCATCCTTGTATTGCATATTTACCCTACCATAACGAAACGCAATGAACCGCTAAAAAATCTGCCTTTTCTTCTGCATATTTGTTTGGTTGTTGGGACTTTGGCAGGGTGTTCCAGCCACATATTACATTGCATAAGTGTCAAAAAAATTGAATCCAAAATGAGCACTTCAAAGGTAACACTGCTCTTAATTTAACACCCTGTCCAGACAGGCCTATTTTAAGTGCAGGGATTCGCAGAGCTGGCAAGTGAAAGCCTCGGAAAAGGAACCAAACTGAATCAACAAAAAAGGCAAAACAAGGAAATAAAGAAAATGCAGAAGAGTGAAGCAGGAATAGAAAGTAACAATGTGAAAAGGAATTGGAAGCTTTGAAATAACAGTAAAAAAAAAAGTCTTAGAGAATTCTGCTTCATGCTCACCATCTTCCAGTGAAACCTTTGCACAGATTTGCTGATTAACAATTAACAGCAGAATCCTTTACTGTGTTTCACCAAGCAGCAAACCAGCCTCTAACCGAGCCGAGGCTCTGAAGATCAGCCTGCAATCGAGACTGCTCATCCAGTTGCAGGGTTTTACAGCACTGGATGTCCAAGTGTTTGCACACTGCCCAGATGCAGTACATACGAGGCCACATTAATGCAGGTGACACACAGATGTGCGCCATTACACCCCGCCATGTGCTGCACACCATGGCTTTTGCTGTTCTGCCACGAAACTGAAAGGTAACCATCACAAAGTTTCTGAGAAGGAAACACGAGCCTCTAAGAGCCCAGTAGAGATTTACTAACACTTAACACACACGTTCAGACTTCCTGTTACAAAACCAGGATTACCTTATCCTTGTGCTCCGTTCCTACAAAAAAAAAAAAAAAAAACAACAACCATCAAGAGTTCAGAACACTTAATCTGCATTCAAAATCAGCTTACAGAAGACAAATCAGCTCAATGTTCAACCAAAACAACTCTGCAGCAGCTTAACTTGTGTGTTTCTTTCCCCTGCAGAAATGAAGGGATGGCAGAACACTAGTATTGGAAAATAGCTATATGGAAAATAGCTTGTAATCAGTTGGATTAGCGTTTCCTATGGACTGCTTGATAACTGGTTCATTCCACAAAGCTGGCATCTGAGTAAGCTGCTGTGCTTTCCCAATCTATGTAACAGCTACAGCCTTCAAAGGCGCATGGACAGCAACTTATCCTCTAAAAAAGAGGGCCAACCTCTTAACTTAATTCTCCTGTCACTAGCTAAACTGACATGTTTTTTTCTGTATCCTTAACCCTGTTACCAAGAAGGTACAAGCCACAAGTGGCATGCTCCAACAGCAACAACAGTTTTAATCTTTTCTTTAAAGCTGAGCTGTACAAGTTATCAGCTTTCCTTGCAATAATTTTCACTCTGGAAGTATCACTGGAATCTTGAGAAATACACAACATGGCCAAAGAGCATCTTTACACAAATATCTTTATCAAGTGATTTTGGTGCAGGACAACCCATAAGACTGAAGGGAAAATCTCCTCCTGCATTGACCCTTCTCACTTGGAACTGACTCAGATATTCTGCACACTCTGCCCAGCAGACCCCTCTGCTCCTTGATTCACTCTGCTGCAGTCACTCCAGGATGTTCCTGTCCTTTTGCAATGCAATTAAGGGCACAAGAAAACAATCTATGTCAAGGAAAAAAGGCTCCTCCTCACTTAAGAGAAGAACTTGTGACCTCACCCAGCTGGCTTGTAGTTACGAACACCAGCTTCCTGTTCAGACAGCAGGACTATCCAAGCACAAGATGCACTACTATTCTAACATGCTTTTATCAGCAATGGAATAATGATTACAAGCCCAAATATCTACATTTGGTTCCTAAGGAATACATTTTAAAATACTTTAAGTCAACAAAGCACCATTGCAGGTTAAAAGGATACTTGGAAGTTCCCAATTCTTCCTTGTCTAGACACCCAGAGCTGCTGTAAGCACACCAGTGTTGCTGAGGATCAAATTCAGCCTTGCTTTCAGGACTGGTACGTGCAGCAATCAAGCAGCCTTGAAAAATGAGGTAATCAAGCACATTAATCTGGTAAAATCACTCAGTATGTCATCGCTGACTGCTGTAAAGCTATTTGGTCTGAGTTGCAGGACATCAACTACAACTTACCCAATTTAGCTTGTACTGTTCAACTCCCATGGGCTTAGAGCAGAGCTGCGCTGTGGCAAACAGGGACAGCTAATTCGTGTGGAATGGAAGGCAGCAGAGCAGGCAGGAGGTTCTCCTGAAGATGCTACTTTTATCAAGCCGCATAATCTTTCTCTGGAAAGCACACAGTGCTAGGAAACATCTAACACACCAAGATACTTTTTTTACTTGACCATATCCTAAAGAGATCTTATGTGTTGGGCTTTAATTAGCTAACAGAATGATCTCTAATCTGAACAGTTCTGTTACAGATCCATTAGTATTAACAAATCTAAAAATACCATGCAAGTATTTAAGAAATGCATTTGCTTTCATAAATCCCAAGTGTATCACATTACCACATCATGTGGAAGCAGCTTGTTAGATCCCTTCTAGCTAATTTAGCAACTTCAATCATCACTATTTTAGGATTTCAGCTCTGGGTATAACCTGAACTAAAAATTATTTGCTCTAAGAGCCACCACCAGACCAAGTTAGAACTAAGGAATCACAGCACTGTCCACAAAGGGGCTAAATCTGAGATGTTTGTATAAAGATGTGCCACAGGCACCAGCCCGGAGACAGCCCTGGCCCCAGATGCACCACTGTGCTCAAGCAGATTCCATGAACTTTCTGTTATATCAGATACCAAAATCTCCTCCTCAGGCACACCTGATATCAACACTGGTTCCCTCCAGCACTTCACAGGCACAGGGATACCCCAGGCTGTTTACACACCATAACAGAAGCGCAGCATGCCAGAATTGGCAAAATCATCACTGTCCTCCAAAGCCCGTGAATCAACGAGAGAAATAGCTGCACTGGAAAGCTTACACTTGATTCATCTCTTTAAGGCAACATAAAACCATGCTCTCCTCAGGCAAGTGCTCTGTTTGGCCTTGCCTCGCATCCCTGCCCTGGGGGCACTCAGGCAGCACATCACAGTCGGAGGTGATCCGGCTCCAGCTGAGCCCACGGGACCTGGCTGCCTTTTGTCGTTAATATTTTATCAGTCCTCTGATCTGTTTCAGCAAGCAGCAGCATGATGATCACAGCTACATGAGATGGGAGCAGGCAGCTGGAGGCACACAAAATTGCTACTAAGAATTATCAAATCCCTGAGTTTGGAGTCCTGTTATTTCTTTTCCTGTAACAAAAATCTCAAGCATTTACCCACTGCCCACCCGCCAGCCAACAGGCAAGCCTGCCCCTGCATTATGCAATGCTTTTTTCTTCTAACAGCCTCCAGACAGTTCTCTGCTAGAAGGCACAAAACTTGAAGATACCTTCAAGACACCAAAATTAAACTAGAATGACACAGCGGTGAAGAGTGGAAGACTTTCTGCTTCCACAAAGGGGAAACAAAGTAACTTGAAGGTACCTGCCGTAGAAACACTTGAAGCTGTACCAGTGTATTTGCAACTTCCATTGATAAGTAGAACAAGGAGCAGAGCCAAACTGGAAACTTGGTAGCTGCAGGTTTTCCTATAATTGGGAATTTTACAAAAAAGCAGCTGAAGAGCTGCGCACTGTGCTACATTGTGTCAGTGTTTTCTAAGGAGTGCAGGAAACAGATAAACACGCAGATACCAAGCAGAAACTTTTGTTGATACAGCATAGGATGAAAAGCATGCTGAAGGGCTGCCTGTGAGCCAGCTGCACGCTTCCTTCTCAGATTAAGAAATTCTACAATACAGCATTTCCAAGTTTTGTATTTTGAAGCTGATGGAGCAAAGGATGCAGAGCTACATGCGCTGCTGCAGCCCATGCAAGGCAGAGCTGCCTCTTGGACTCCTCAGGCAGGCAGATTTTTAGATAACGCATTCCTTCTGCTACTGGTGCTTTGACACTTACATGCCAATCAGCCCTGGACAGTAACACAAACCATGAAAGTCTGCACGTTTGGGAAAATAGACCTTTCCTAATCCAATCTATTCAGACTCTTTAAACCTATCATTAAATTAAGTCATCTTCTAGAAAAGTCTAAGTTCATCTTCTGATTCCAAAGACCTCAAACTTCATTTGGAGATAAACAGGAAATGTTTAGCATGACTATTATAAACACTGAACCCAAGGATTTATTTTTTTTTTTTTGTGAGTGCTGAGACAATCACTAACCTACAGCAACGCCACAAGGTCAATTCTCCCCTGAATACATTTCAATGCCATTTACCAGTTTCTCAAATGCGTTTACCAATTGAAAACATTTAATAAACTTTATCATACTAATTGAAAGAGTAAGAAGAACACTGAAGTAGCATCTCTTCAACATGTGCAATTTTTACTTTTTTTTTTTTTTTTTAATAGCACTGTAGGGTTGATGTTATATTCGAAGTGCTTCAGAATTACTGGAGATGACAGAACTTATTTAACCATCAAGTGCACAAAAAACAGCTGGTCTGCAAAGAACGACCAGATGAGCAGGACATAAAAGCTTCCTTAAGCAGTAATTCACAGAACACTGAAAAAAAAGTTATGACCAGACACAATGAACAACACCAACATGGTGGAAAACCAACTTGCTCCACCTCGCTTTCCCACAAAGCATTAGCAGAGCACACCAAGTCTGAGCCGCTTACTGCGCAGTCACTCAGCACGTCACTTGAACATAACTTGCTTTAGTGCTGTGTGACAGGGACACCAATCCCAGCCCACTGCTCACAGACTGCCGAGTGCCTCGAACAGCTCCTATATATAGACCAGCACTGCACCTTCCAAGCACAGCGTGAGCTATTAAAAAGTCCGTGCAAATGCTCCTGGCGAGTCACAGTAACGTCATGTGAACAGGGCCAGGAAAAACCTCCCTGCGTACCAGACACTGGATTCAAACAGTGGACAACCAGAGAAGAAGCTGCATTCAGTTTGTCTCTTGGTTTGCAGCCTCTTTCAGACTGTAATTAGCCAGAACTGCAGGTCCTGGTTTAAGCAGCACAACATCCTGACAGGAGCATCCCTGCTAGTAAAGGTGAGCGCACCATCCCGGCAGCCTAAAGAAGCCATCAGAGATCAAGATCCAAACTTTCCAGACCAGCTGTCTAGAATAATTTTTAATCTGTACAGTATGCTCTCAGTTGTACCTAGGAGATGAAAAAATTAATGAGAACACTAATGGCTGTGTCCCCAAAGGCAGAGAAGCCAAACTTGTGCAGAATTATTAGATGGTTTATCAAATGTCATTAATTACCAGCCTGTTTTTCTGTAACTAAACAGCAGGACACAAACACCTCTGAGGACTCATTTCTCATCAATTACTCGACTAAGGAGCCCAAATGCTTTTTAGTGCATCATTAAAAACCTTTAATGACAACATTTCTGAGCACTTATTTTTGTTAGAGAAGTAGAATATCTCTTGAGCTTCAAATCAAAGTCTGTCTCCTTTTGTTATTTTTACTTCATGCATTAATTAGAGCTTTGTCATCAGAAATGCTTGCTTGAACAGCTGCATCATTTACAGATAAACTGTCAAATAAAAGAAATAAATGCTCAATGGCAGATTGAATACTTCTCTTGTTTAAGGCATGCAACAACATCCTCAAGATAATTGCTGTTGTATTTAATACCGCATCTACTAATTATCTTGGAATCCCGCTCCACTCAGATAATCCCCCCTTCAATTAGTTTCCAACGTACGTTTCATAATGCTATAGAATTCTACCCATGCAGACTCATAGGCTTCCCATAAATGCCATTCCTCTGCTCTAGTGAAATGCTGGACCATCTCTTCTTCCTCCTTATTCCTCACACTGAGGCATTACCTCTCTGATACCAAGTCACTCTGTGTGCCTTCAGAAGCCAGTCCTAAGAAAGGCTGCACCACTCACAGGTGACAAGCTGAATGGAACAAGCCATTGCTATTCTAGAGTTAAACATCCCCCCATTAAGGTGAATGAAACCACATGGTAAAGACATCACTGACGCGCAGATGAAGTTTGCTGAACTCCCTGTAACACGAATCCTTATCCCAATTTTGGGGACAAAAGTTCAGAATGAGTGAGAAGAGCAGAATACTCCCCTTTCTAACACAACACCACAAAACCCCAAGTCATAGATTGCTCTGCAAAAGCAAGGGGTGGCACAGAAGGGCAGATGTCACAAACAAGGCCAGTAGTAGTAGGTGTTCTGCACAAGGCCCTGCAGTGCCACAGGTGAGCCAGCAAGAGGACGTGACCAGCTGGTCCTGTCAGTGAGTTACAGCAGCACCAAGCTTGCTTACAAAATCCCAGCGCACCTGAAGGCAGTTTGCTTAAATTCAACCATACATACGCAAAAACCACAGACAGAAAGCAATGCAATTCTGTTTTCAAAGTTACAAAATGGAAGTGATTCACCTCCTGCTTCTGGTACCCAGTGCCACAAATGCTTTTATCTCTGCTAATACTATAAGTCATCATCATTCAGCAACGTTTTACAGGCTCACCCTCCACAAGTCCTTCAGTACTTATCAAACACACATAGTGCAGAACTGTCAAAAAACGGAAAGCACAGCACTGCAAATGAAACCAATTACAAGCCTATCACTGCTAAGAGCTTTTACTTTGGGAAATGAAATAAGACCCTGATGACTTTTGAATTCTCAGCTAGTACAAGTAATGCAAGGAGGCTTGCATGCTAAATATTCACCACTGGATTTTAATAGCACAACACCACTTGAAACAAAATGGTTCTCAGTGTAACTATTATTAAAGCTGTAAGTTAATATTCTTCTTCGCGTACTGCTTGCAGTAATTATGTTCAATTTCTTGATTCAGTGCCACAGTGCTGAGACATTTCCTTCTTCCTCCACTGGGAAAAACCACAGCAGCACCTGTGAACAACACTTCTGCAAATCAAAGCCTTCACTCAACTGCGTACTTTGACAGGCCTTGAAAGCAGCTCCTGCTTCAAGTACTGCCTGTATTCAAGTGAATACTTAATGCAAATGATTCATTTCTACAACATTTTATCTTGAAAGTTCGATATGAGCACTGTAATAAGCCAAAAACGTAAAGAAAGATAGGTTTAGATGAGAAGTAGTATTTGGCTGTGCACATGGAGGAAGAGACAGCAATCTGGGAACCATGCCAGTCTTCACTAAGCTTCCAGTTTTATAGCTCTCTTATGAACAGGTGATCACACTGGCAAAACCCAACACCAACCTCTCCAGTTCTGTTTCTTTCCCTCCCATCCCCAAGCCATGCCCATAAACGAAACCTCCTGGGTTTCACTGGAATTAACACAGATTTGCAGAGATGAAAGTTATTTCAGCTACATAAGCATTTTTCTTTAACTTGGGAAGACAAATATTCAGTTCAGCAACAAATGAGTAAGAAGTCCCTAGAATTAGTAAGATCATGGCAAACAACCCCTAAAATGAGTCAATTCAAAGCATTTGCAAACATAAGACTATAATTTACATGCAAAAGAGGCAAAAAACACTGGTCAAAACTTTATGATCATCCTCACTTTTCAGAGTGTTCTCACTTCTATTTAAATGGTTTGTATGTTTTTGGGAAAACAATCCATACCATTAGCTGAACGCTCTTAAGACATTGATTAAAAACCACTTTATAAGCAAAGACAGACTCAATAAGAACGTGCTTGGATTTAATGCAACAGGAAAAGGAGAAATAGAGTTTAAACTGATTTCAAAGTAACTCCTAATGTTAAGCTTATAACAACAAATGAGTCAGGGTCAGTAGAAATAGCTTTTAATGAAAAGCAATTACAGGTGCCCATTTGTGTTACAATGACAGCAGGACGCCTCACTGCTTGAGCAGAATAACACTCAGCAGCACCTGGCACAGACCAAAGCACCAATTCCACAGCCACACCCTGAGCACCAGCAGGGAAACAACAGACAGCCACAGCCGCACGGCGGGGTGCCAGCTGCCATCAGTGGAGGGTCTGACGGAGGGAAGAGCTTCTGCTCCCAACCCATACGAGGCAACACATTGCTCTTGGAGTTCATTCTTATTTCCCCCCTCACACACACACACCACAAAGTGGACTGAGACATTCAGCCTGCTCAGCGCAACACAGATTACAGAAATTCCATTTGGAGCTGAACCAAACATGTGCAAACAGGAACCCAACAGTCACTCCAATAGCTTTAAAAAATAAAAAGGCTAATTCATGGAGAAATCACTACGCGAAGTGGGAATGAAAGAACACAGAAGACTAGTTTAGAAGTTATGCTCTAATAGCAAAACAAACGCCTATTAAAGTCTACTGCTTCACCATTATTAGCTGACACACTTGACTTTTATATAAAGCAGGCCCCAAAGAAAATAGATGCTGTATTAATGTGCTACTGCAACAGAGCACACAGAAATATAAACACGGATCATTTGAAAGCATAAACTTTTGGATTAAGCTCTTATTAAAAGCTGAGAACAGTCCCTGAGATTAAAATGCACCGCTGAGGTGCGTTCCCATAGAAGCGGGCTGCAGGCCTCCCAGGCCCAGCCACGCAGACCTCACAGGCAGCGTCTCACACAAGTTTACTTTGCTCGCAAAACGCGCGCCCTGCAGTCCTCTCAAGGGTGAAAAAGCGACGGAGCTGAAAAAAGCTGAACCAAAGGCGGCAACAAAGGAAACGAAAGTCACGAACGAACGCAGACGAGGCGCCCGGCACAGCCCCGGGCCGGCACCTGCCGAGAGCCTGCCCGATTCCCAGCGGAGCTCCGCATAGCGAGGCCCACTAATTATTTCTTTAACCGGCGATGCCGCCGGACCCCGCACCCTCTCTCAGCTTCCCTCAGAGCCCACCGCAGACTGCCTCCCCAAAAGGCCTTCAGAGGATGCCGCAAGCCCGCTCCCCACAAGCACGCCCAGCCCCGGCCGCCCACCTGCCGACGGTCTGGTTGGCCAGCTGCTTCATGCGGTTGAATTGCTTCTTCATGGCGGCGGCCGCGCCCCGGCCTCCCGCCGGGCTCCCGCTGCCTGCGCTGCGCTGCCTCCTCCCTGCTCGCGGCCCCGCCGCTCAGCCCCGCCTACCGGAATGAGACGCCACTTCCGACCCCGCCCGAAAACCCGGATGGCCGAGCAGCGAAAGTTCTACTCCCGGCGTGCTTTGCGGTACGACGCCACTTCCTGGGCGGGGCCTCGCAGATCTCGCTCTTCCATTGGATGCTGTGGGAATGGGCGAAGCCGTGAGCCAATCGTGACGGCGCACCGCCGAGCTCCGGCGCACCGCCTCGTGCAGGCCGCCCAATGGGAAGCGGCGGGGGGCGTGCCGCAGGGTGGTGGCGGCAGTGGCGGGCGGGTGAGCCTCGCGCCCTCTATGGCGACCGCCGCTCGCGATCAGCTGCCCGCTGCCGGCCTGGACGAGGCGGATGAGGCGGTCCGGGGCACGTGCGAGGACGCATCCGTCTGCAAACGGTAATGGCTGAGGGGTGGGGGCAGCAGGGCCGGGCGTGGGGCGTCAGCGAGGCGATGGCCTGCCCGGTGCTGGCTGTGTGAGAGCAGCGGGATCGGGAAGGAAAAGGGATCGGGGAACGTTGAGGGCTGTGGTGTGAGCGGGCGGGTATTGGCTGCGAGGGCCTACTGTGGGCAGTGCTGCTGTCAGCTCCCGGCCCTGACCTGCTTTCATCTTAGAACCTGTTTGTAAGGTACCATCAGCGATAATTAGGGTTGCCGATAATTAGAGCTGTCCTTACAGCAAGAGCCGAAAATGTCAGCGACGTGCAAAACTCGGGACAAACGTCTCAGTGTTGTTCAGAGCTCTTTATGTGGTCTCTTCCCGAGGATGTGTGCAGGGGATGATGGGCTTGTTGCCCTCTTATGCGCGGTCTTGAGTTTAATTCAGGTGTTGCTGTCACTTATTTCCTTTGGTACTGAGGTAATGCCAGGGAGGGGTGTTGGAGAGTTAACCTGCCTGGCTATGAGGTCAGAAAGCTGTATTAGAACAGAATGGTGTTGTTGGCTGCGTTAAAGTGGAACGTAGAAGCTCGAGAATAAATGTAAACAGTTTGCAGTGTATAAATGTACAAAAGTTGTCTGCACCGCTTAGGGGACTTTTTAGACATGTATCCTTTTTTGCTGCGTTCTCAGAAATATTTGGAACTGGGGTCTTGTGTAAGTTCATCAGGTAGTGCAAAGGCCATTGAAAAGATACTTACGCGTTTAGGAACAGCCAGAATTTTTAACTGGGCATCCTGCAACTTCCTATACTTGCATACATTTGGTAGACTTCTTAAACCTTGTCTGCATGTAGGCATGCAGGTCAGAGAGTCTCCTCTGAAGCTTGGTTATCTTTTGAAGACTACTTTGATGACCTTAATTCATAACTTTTAATTTTTCTTCCTCTGCTGGGCAGGTTTGCTGTAAGCGTCGGCTATTGGAAGGACCCTTACATCCAGTATTTTGTGAGGCAAGCCAAAGAAAGAAAAGCACCTGAAATCAACAGAGGCAAGTCAGCAAATAAGCATGGATGAGGACAGTACAAGTATGTTTTAAGTGTCCCTTATAGTGGAAATGCTAAGTTATCACCTGAAATGGTGATTGAGCACCTGGTGAGAAGGCAGAGCCAACCCATGGGAGCTCAGATACATGCAATGCACCTGTGTGAGCAAAAGGGGTGGAGCCAGGGTCCACTCCTTCCCAGACCTCATTTAAGGGTTGGCAGTGGAGGTAAGGGCCTCTTGCTGGAGATCCCTGTGAACCTGAGGGTAAGCTGGTTCTTTCCTTTGCTTCTGTGTCCAAGATTGCTGTATTTGAGCATTTCCTTACTTCTACAGTCTGGGAGTTTGCTACTATGCTCTTATTGCTGTCCTGCCATCATGTTGCGGTGTTACAAATATTGAAGCATTCTGGTCTTAATTTCTGTACGCTACGTGTTTGGAGCATAGGGTGTATGTAAAAGTAAGATATATACACTCTGTGTTAACATTACTCGCTGTGTGAGCTTCTTAATAGCTTTTCTTATTATTGAAGTTCTTATTATTTGTTTTCTGTATTCCGAATAGGGTATCCCTATGTCTTGGTTAATGTGCAGTACTCTGTACAAAGCAATCAAATCACTGCTTGAGTGGGGACAGCAGTGTGGGTCAGTTCTGGTCTCTGCAAGAGTTCAGTGTGCTCAACAGCTTGAATTAATTTGGTCTGTTCTTCATGTACCCAAGGAATTACACTTTTTTTTTTTCCTTACATTGGGTAAGATAGTAACAGGAAAAAATAATAACGTTTGTGAAAGAGTGTATTCTTCTTCTAAAGTAGTATATTTTTAAGTAGACAAAGAGTTTCCAAAGTTGCTTAAAAAAATTGAGTATTAAGCATTCAGTATTATACTAAAATAGTAATTTAAAAATATAAACTTTTCTTTGTTAATAGGCTATTATGCTCGTGTTCAGGGTGTCAGTTATCTGCTTGAGGCTTTTTTAAAGAAGACCGAGTGCAACTGTCAGATTGTTAATCTTGGTGCTGGCATGGATACCTTGTTCTGGAGATTAAAGGTGAGTGATAGCTGAGAGGAAAGTGCTCAGCTGAAGGCAGAGATTTGTGTGGATGTTTGAAGCACTCTTCTGTGAGCGCTTATCAGTACTGCTTTCTGTAGCACAATGTGGAGGTGTGCTGTGAGGCTGTGTACGTCAGCAGACTGCTGGGGTGGTTTACTTTATTCTCAGCTTGTTTAGAATTAGGTGTCTTTAAACTGCAGTGCATGAGGAGAGAGTTTTTCACTGACCTTCCCGAAAAAAATGTGTGACATGAAGCTGACCTCTAGTGGACTTTCAGGAACTTCACATCTTACTGTCATCTTTAAGCATGGGGTTTCACCATTCTAGTTATATATTGGAACACAAGTATGTTATAGAGGTAGAGTGCTGTGCATGCTGTTTTACTCATTTCTGAATTATGTGTATTTATGTGAATGTGAGATTATAGACACAAATATTATGTATCTGCGTGCATTTACATAGTTGATGATAATTCATGATTCTTATACTGTGTGATAGTATTCAGAATATTCAGATGCTGTGTAATTGTTACTTACTGGCTTACACTAAATCTTGTTTTTTCAAGGAAAGCTAGAAGAGGCCAGTTGCATTTTGCATGGTCACGAGTATATATGTTACACTCAGTGGAAGGGAAAAGTTCTTTCTGAGATGCAAAGCTTTTCTTCTGACATACACTTCTGTGAAAGCTCTGTGAATATGAGATTGTTTCAACTTTTATTAACTCGAATCAATACCACTCCGGTGTCCAGGGTGTCTTACCTAAAAATGTTAAATATTTTGTTTGATTCCTAGAGAATATTTTAATGATTCTCAACTTCTATTTTTTAAGTTGTGTGTTTAAATATACTGTTGTTAACAATGCCAATGTAAACTGAAACAAAACTGCTTGGGACTTAAGGCTGTATCTTCTTGTTATGTAGGTGTTCCTAACTCTATTGTCTTAATCCAATTCTCAGGATGAAAATCTTCTCCCTAGAAAATACTTTGAAGTGGATTTTCCAATGATAGTTGCAAGAAAAATACATAATATAAAGTAAGTGTAAGGCTCATGTTAACCTGTGTAGGACTGCATATGTAATTCAGCAAAATGTAATGAATTACGAGCTATGAGTTTTAATTATTCCATCTCTCTTCAAAGGAGTCCTTCACACTCTGTGATTTAGAATAAAGGTTTGATTATTCAAGCTAAGTCCTACAGAAGAGATTATTCTGTCACTGTTTCAATCTGGGGAAGTCACTATGTGAAAGCTGTAGGAAGGCACACTGACTTAATTCTCAATTGTCTAAAGTACAGTAGACAGAGCGAGTCTCAGGGTGACTGGGGGCAATTAAGTCTCTTTCTCTTCCAGCTAAATACGGAAGGAAACTTTCAGATTTGCATGTCAAGTTATAGAGAGGAGTTAGCTGATACAGTACTTGAATATTATTTGAATAAATAAGTTTTACGGGGAATACTTTAGGGAAGTGTCTAGATTTGTCTTGAAAGAGTTATCTCAGAATTGTAGGAGTTGGTGGGTATGAAACTCAACTGCAGCATATTATAAGTCTAATCTGCAAGCACTTTTCTTTCCAGTAGAGGGCAGAGATATTCTCTTGTCCTTCACATGTGTTTGAAAGAAAAATTTTTTTGGAAGCACATAGTTAAACAAGCTTAACTGCTCAGAGCTGCTTCTTCCTTCTTCCCACAGATCAAAACCTCCCCTGTCAAAACCAATCATAGAAACCCATTCAGGGGACTCTCTTCTAATAGGTGAGTCATCTTTAAAATAAGTCGCAATGTACTGCAGCACTTTTAAAACTTTTCTGATCACTTTGTTCTGATATGTGGGCAGGCTTTTAATGTTTGAAGTGCTGTTTGGACAGAGAATTGGGAGGGAAAAGAGGCTTATTTCTTCTCTTACAGAATCATGCCCATTTGCTCTGTGTCATGTTAGAAATATTGTCTTTTGAAAAGGTTTTATCCTGCTAGAAAGTTTTTTCTTTCTTGTATGTGGCTTAACTTATGTTTCACTCTGTCACAGAAAAAAAGAATGCTAATGATAGTCATGTGTGCTTGATTAAAATGAGTGCTTTCCTCTGTCTTTCAATCTCATTAAGAGCACAAGTCTTTGTGTTACTTCTGTGACTCCACCAAATGTATTTTACGAAGTTATTTCTTAAGAGCCAGTGCTGCTTGTTATGTTTCAGTATTTTAAAAGAGGATATTAGACTCAGATGGTATTATGTGCTCGTATTGTCTTAGCTTACAGACTTGTAGTGTTGTGCCAAGAGTTTAATGTAAACATTTCTTTTCTTATGGGGAAAAAATAGATTCTTCTGAGTAACCTTTGTGGCGCCCAAATTGTAGATAGTGCGCTGTAGTTATTTGTTCTGGACTCTTTAGGAGGAAGACAAGTTATCTGCACCTGCAGTGTCAACTAGTTTGTGTTAGCAAGCGTAACTGTGAATCTGAGGTTGTGTATTTCCTGTTGTAGTTAAATCTGCGTGTGATTTTTGTGAGC